CTCACTGGCTTAGAGGTCAGTCAGGCTGGTTTTGTTCATACGATTGCTTGATTTGATCCTAGAGATACGGGCATCAGCTTGGAATGTTGTAAGAAAGCACCGCGGATGGGGCACCTTACACAAGAGACATGTCTGGTCTCCCCGTCCTGGAGGCTGGGATCTGAGGCCAGGTGTGAGCAGGGCTGGTGTCTCCTGAGCCCTCTCCTCTTGGTGTGCGGACGGCCATCTCCTCCCTGTGTCCTCCTGTGGGCGTCCCTCTGTGTGTGTCTGGGTCCTCGTCTCCTCTTCTTTATAAGGACCCCCCTCCTATATGATCAGGACCCACCCTAGGGACCTCATTTTACCTCTATCACGTCTTCAAAGACCCCCATCTCCAAACCAGCCAGATTCGGAGGTCCTGGGGGTCAGGGCTTCAGCACGTGGGTTTGGAGGTGGAGTTGGGGGAGGCACCATTCAGCCCATGACAAAGGTCTTTGCAGTGACCTCTACCTACTTGGCATCCAGGGCTGGTGCCCCAAGAGCACTTGGCTTCGTACAAATGACCATCTGCTTTGTGGATGGTGACACAGACTCTAGATGACAGAAGAAAGTAAAAGCTGAGATGGGAGGGAGTGGCTTCAAGACAGCAGAGCAGAAGGACCCAGAGCTCACCCTCGCCCACAAATACATAAAAAAAGGAAAAATACACCGGCACGGGGAACAGTTCTCTTAGGAACAGCTGAGGAGCTGCGCCTTGCATAAAGGACCTCTCTTCTCCTCTCTCAGCACGGCTGTATCTTTCATGCTCAGATTCTGCTCAGAGGGTTGGAGTTTTGGTTTTCTTCCCAGTTGCCATTTAGACAATCCAGGATAGGACTGACGTGGATAGCGCCGTCTCTCCGGCTGCACCTGCCCCGCTCAGCTTTATCTCACACACCTCGGACGTGCTCCGATGGTGAGCAGAGGCGCTGAGCGTAGGGAAGTCACTGCCATCTTGATCCGCTCAGCTTTCCACTGCAGATGCTTTCGTAAAGACTGAATAAGGGATTTGCTTGAAGCAGCAGATGGGGGGCGCCATGGGGTTTTCGTTCTAAAAGGGCTCGTGCCTTTGCGGGAAAGCCCCTTCCTCCACTGGGACGTCCCATTTGCATTCACGCTTGGGGTCTTCCGTGCCTTGTGCCACTTTAGAGCATCCGTGGACCACGTCCCCTCCCTAGACATGCAGACACACTCCTGTCCTCGGTCAGGAACCTGCCTCTGCTGCTGGCTTCTCCCCTGGAAGCCAGCCAGCTCACGGCGTGCGCAGACCACTTACCCTCACGTGCACCCCAGCGTTGTTGTCTGTCACCCTGGAACTGCATGGTGCCTGCATGTTATGGAGCCTTTTCTACCCAATAAACCAAATCAGCGCCCTCAACCTGCCCCACCAGAATCAGCGGGAGGTTTTCACGGACCTCCCCTCCCAGCTCAACCCCAGTGAAGCAGACAGGCTCTCGTGCATCTGTGCATCCTGCAGTGCGTCAGTGGGAAGCTGGGATGCTGTGGGTGAGGGGCAGGCAGCAGGTGGCTTCCCGTGCCCACAGTCACGTGTCATTCAGGAGGGCTCAGACGTGAAGCGGGATGATGTTGCTGCGTCCCGGCGAGGGCAGGGGGGTTATACTGTCATCAGGCAACACCTGTCTCCCTAGGGCCTGGCGGGCTGGGCAGATGCCCCTGGAGGGCCCCATCCAGCGTGGAAAGCCTCGTCACGGGGCATGCAGATAACTTAGGAGGTAGAAGCCATGAGTCATCCTTGGGGTGGGGGCTGGGGAGAGCTCCCAGGGCCCGAGGGCGCCGTGCGAAGGCAGGACTCCCGTCTTAGAGGAAATCATTACGGGAAGAAGCAAAGGAGCTTGTCCAAGCTCAATGATGGAAGCGTGGGGCCAGGAACCCAGCAGTGCGGGAGAGGAAGAGAGGACTGAAACTCGGGGTCTCCTAGTTTTCAAATATAGGATTCATTATTATTTAGGGATGGTGACACCAACAGATCAGCAGATGACTGCCACGGAAGAGCGAGCTGGTCACTCACTGTCCCCCAGGGGAGAGGGGACACTGCGCCACACAGGGTTGCACGGGGACACACCAGGGTCAGTCAGGAGGCAGGGAAGAGAGAAACACTAGATAAGAGGTTTTATTGTGGTTCCCACAGAAAGGAACGGCTGAGGCGGGGGAGCAGTCTTAGGATGGGCTCGTGTGGACAATTTCAGCAGGTCCTGGACGCAGGGCCTGTCTGGTACCTGGCTCTGGGGCGATGAGAACAGGTGGGTGGCGGCCCTGAGTATGGGAGCCCCCTGGAGGATGCTCTGGAGTGAGGGGTCGTTTTGCATTTGAAAGGTGAGTTGTTTGCTATGTGCAGAAATTGGCCAGCCCTGGGCAGGGCAGTCCCTCCAAGGTCACCAAGACCCCTGATGTCAATGCATCAGAAACACTTTAAAAATACAGACCCGGCCTGTGGCAGAGCTCCAAGAGGATGAGCTATAAAACATGTGCCGTGTAGAGGGAGGGAAGAAACAGTGACGCTGCCAGGCACCATCTAGAACCATGAGTTGGTGCTCAGCTCAGCCAGGCTGGGCCGAGAATGAGCTGCCCATCGTAACTCCCAGAAGCCTGGCTGGGCAGAGGCGGATGGTGACTGCCAACCTGGGGCACCCCTGCAGCCGAACAGTAACTAAAGTAAAGCAGGAGGCCACCTTGGGAAGGTCCGGGGCTCATGGCGGCTTGCAGATTGGCCATGAGACCCCTACTGGCTGCCCTTGGCTGGAAGGTTACGGTTATGCACCCTGATTTGGGGGTTAGTGCAAGATTGAAGAATATCGGAGATATTGGGGATGGGTCTTCGCTTTTGTTGTTTGGATATGAAGAGGAGGATTAATTTAAGTCATGATCCTCGTTCGGTCCGTTTGAAAGGGCACATCTGTGTTGGACCTAATGGCACCTGCTTTTGACTTCCAGGAGCTCTCATGACCCCACACACCAGAGTCCAGCGCTTTGAAGTCCTGAAGAATGGCACCTTCGTCATCCGCAACGTACAGGTGCAGGACCGCGGCCAGTACATGTGCACCGCCAAGAACTTGCACGGAGCAGACAGGATGGTGGTCCTGCTGTCCGTGACGGTGCAGCAGCCGCAGATCCTGGCGTCCCACTACAAGGATGTCACGGTCTACCTGGGAGACACCATTGCCATGGAGTGTCTGGCTAAGGGGACCCCAGCTCCCCAGATCTCCTGGATTTTCCCCGACAGGAGGGTGTGGCAGACCGTGTCCCCCGTGGAGGGCAGGATTACGCTGCACGAAAACCGGACCCTGTCCATCAAAGAGGCGTCCTTCACGGACAGGGGCGTGTACAAGTGCGTGGCCAGCAACGCAGCCGGGGCGGACAGCCTGGCCATCCGGCTCCACGTGGCGGCCCTGCCCCCGGTCATCCACCAGGAGCGGCTGGAGAACATCTCGCTGCCCCCGGGGCTCAGCATCCACATCCACTGCAGCGCCAAGGCCGCGCCGCTGCCCAGCGTGCGCTGGGTGCTCTGGGATGGCACGCAGATCCGCCCCTCCCAGTTCGTCAACGGGAACCTGTTCGTCTTCCCCAACGGGACGCTCTACATTCGCAACCTGGCGCCCAAGGACAGCGGGCGGTACGAGTGCGTGGCCGCCAACCTGGTGGGCTCAGCGCGCAGGACCGTCCAGCTGACCGTGCAGC